TCATATGTGCTCATTTGTAAACCAAATCTCTGAAATGAGGAAATACAGGCTAAGTGCAGTATTGAACTGTTTTTCATGGCTATAAGCTAGCAATGAATATAGCAAAGAACCATTTTGTTTGTTTACCTGACTAAGACTTTTAACAATTCTAGATTTCCTATACACCTTTTAATACAAGTCTGCTGAAGGAGCGGAGTTTGCTGGCACTTCTCGAGCTGTGATCCACACCTTCAGTTCACCCAAACATAAAGTCTAGGAGTACCAGCCTGAGATGAGAAAAATGCAGACAGGTTATGGGTTATTCTCAAGTTGCTTTGCCAGATTTTTTAGCAGGTATGATAGAAACTCACTCAAATGAGTTAATAAAAAAAAAAATTGAAACAGTGTGTTTCACTCAGGAAGCAGGTATAAGCAGTCCAGCTCTAAATAATTTAACAGGATTTGCTCAAAGGCATACAAAACCAACAACTTCCCAGTTTTGGATGAATGAGCAAGTTAAACAGAATTCCTGCAGATTGCACTTGAAAACAGATGCCTAAATTTCTTGTGTCATCACTGTAGGTAGAAGTATACTTAACCCGGTCAGTTTATGAAACAGACTTGCAACAGTGTAGGGAGACCGGAGTGGGCTCAATGTAACTACAATCATACTTCCCCACTAGAGCTGCTACACCCATATATTGCTGTGGCTAGTGCCTGTGCAGAAGGGCAAGCTGGGTAAGCGATAATTTAAGTTGTAGATTAAGTGCCCACGTACTTTGGCATTTCCCCTATCTGTATTAGAGTGGTTTGATCATCAGCTGATACCATTCAAAAGTTTAGCAATTACATGCTGGTAGGCATCTCTCTGAAGTCAGATAGGCTTCAGTATTCAAAGAACAGACTCAATTCTACAGATTTAAAACATACCTGTCATTCATAGCTTTTGTGCAGATGCCATTAATTCTATCGGGGAGAGGTGCGGGGGAAATCTCACTCATTTTTTCTATTGCCTTCTTGTAGGTCTTACAGAACAAAACAGCTTCTGCACACAAAAGTCTCTTTGGTTGAGATTTGGTTGAACACCATGTTGAGAGGAACTCCACCTAGACTGATGGAATGAAGAAGATATAGATACATTTACTTTAGTCTCTACTCTGCTGTCAGCTCATGATGGAACAGAAAATTTGGCTTCCTAACATAAGTAAGTATAATAACTTTTTATTAAAAGGCAGATTCAGGAGAGAAGAAATAGGAATATGAAGCTTTTGCGTAAAGAATTTTAAGTGCAGCCCATCTTGTATTGTCACCTATGCAAGCTTCCTCCAGAAATGCAACACTCTACTATGCATTAAAAATGTGTTAACTAAACAAAAACACTTAAAAGCTGAATAATTGTTAGTAATTCTATGTAATGACCTTCTCTGTGGGCTAATATTTAATTAACACAGTTAAGACATCCGTGAAAGCCTAGTTTAGGCCAGCTTTGTTGTTTCCATGTTACAGTGCAAGAGATCTGAATAAATGTAGTAATATTTTATTGATCACAAACGTAATAGTTCTTTCAGCAATTAAAATGCATGATGATTCATATGAACAAAGTGAAAATAAATCACAACCGAAAAATTTCACATTTTTTCCCTTTCATTCTTAGTGTAAGCAATAAATACAATGCTATAGCTTCTATTTATCTTATTTACATAGTACAATACTTGATGTTGCCTGGTTTCCAGCCCAAAACTTTCATGACATGAAAAGGAGTACATGTTGCAGCATTTCTACAGCCAAATACTGTAGTAGATCATCACAACGGAAAAAATACACAGCAAAAATGCTAACATTAAACCAAACAAACAACAGAGAGGACCCTGCAATGGAGCATTTTATTAACTGAAGACAGTAGCATGAAAAATAGACATTCCCTCTCATAGAATGCTAACATGCTGGTATTACAGATACCAAATATAAGACAAGTATTGCTGTAGCCCCTGTAGATTGATACAATAAATCCTCACTAAACAACAACAAATATAAAGAGCAAATAATAACAGGTAACTGTTTGCATGTTCAAAGGAATCTCACAGCCCCACCGAAACAGAGTTTACTTCCATCCCAGAGAATACAGATAAGGACTACAACATTCTGTAAAGTAGAAAATAAGCCATGAGAAATCAGCATAAGGATTTGAATTTAATTTATTGTGACAGAAAAACATTTGAAGAAACAGACCCTTCTCTTGGTTTTGTAGGAACTGAAAAAGGTGAGGTAGGAAGACAAAACAGGGAATTTATATTTATTTTCCAATGCAAAATAGGAACTAGCCTCCTGAGGATGGGGGAAATGTAGCTCTCCTACGTCATGTAACCCTCCACAGCCGCAAACATTTTCTTGCGCATCCAGCTGGATGTGTGTTTCTTTTCCAAAGTGAAGACAGATGTGTGCCTAGAAGCATGCTGTGATTGTCCACCTAGAAATAGGATGATTTCTGTGTAAAAACAATTTTCCCTTCTAAATTACCATTATGACGTTTCTCTGACAGGGAGCAATTAGCAACTAGTACTTTGCATTAAATGATAAAAATTTATAGGCTATTAAATTTGAACTGCCTAGCTGAGAAGGAAGCTTAATTCAAAATCTAATGTTGTATCACACTCTAAACTGTCACATAGGTTTTAATTACAACAACCCACCAGGTACCATTGAAATAATTGTCTGATAATATGCCATAAAGGACTTCAAAGCACTTTTGAATGGACAGATATCTGCTTGGGCTTTGATTCTCAGCTGGTACGCATTGATTCTGAAAATGGAACTCAAGAGAGATTTATAACAGCTGAAGATCTGGTCCCCCAAGTGTAAAGCTGCTATAGCAGAGCAGGGATTTTCTGCACCACTAATATTTTCAGAACATTGCACAGACTTTAAGTAACACTACACAGATCAGCAAGCAGAGCTGTAAGTAACCTCTAATCATGTTGTAGCAGATACCCCTACTGTATTCTTACAATTTAAGAGATTGTGACATCTGATCGCCAGATTTCACACTATTCTAAAGTACAAAATCCAACCGATTTTTCAAATCATTCCCATCAATCAACCAGACAGCCTTGCAGAAGAACAGAAATCTTGATAATAAAACACTTTCTAAATTCAAACTCCTGACATAAGAACTGTAAAAAAACTACAGAAAGGTGTAAGTGGTGTGAACTTACCGCATCCTCCTAATGTCTTCCTTCTAAATACAAAGCATTTAAAGCCTTATGAAGTCACAAACCAATAACCACTGTGACAGCAAATTAACTAGATGCTAATGAAGCTTACAGAAAGGCTACCGCCAAAAATGTTTGAATGTTAAAATCAAGTTGTTCGTATACAAAATTAAGTATTTAAAACTGAAATGGTCTCAGAAAGAACTGCCTTTCATTTTTTTTCACCAGCTTACATGCACCAGATGTGCATTAATTAGCATAATAGTCTATCAACTCCAGCATCTACTTCTCTTCTACTTCATTTTGGTTTTTTCCCCACTTGAAGTAGACTTATCTGCAAAGTAAACCAATAAAACCTTTTTCTACTTTTGTGATTTTTAGTAAGACTTTTCTAAACTCATCTTAAATCATGCCCTTATTCTTGAGCATTTTTGTCATTTCACTTAAGAAAACTACTCTTTCTGTAAAGCATAAAGATTTACAAAAACATAGATTGCTATAAAGACACATTTTCTCAAGACCTTCCTGACAACCTCCTCATTTTCAGTGAGACCTTTATTCAGCAGTAGAACCAAAGAAACAACTTATGAAGTACTGTTCTAAGCTAAGTAACTGAGATGATAGATAGATAGAGATTCAGAGTCAAGCACTCCAAAAGAATATTAAAATTCTCAATCCATATACTGATATTTACTGTCAGTTCCAAATACTGACATTTACTAATTTGCTTGATTAGTCTGAACGTCATACACTGGCTTTAAATGTAGTATGTCATTTGCATTGCTTTCAGTCTTGCATGCTTTTCTCAAACACCCCCTCCCCCCCCCCAAATTAATCAAAACTTTGCCCCAAGAATGAAAGAATAAATTATCAAGCATATGGCCAGGGAAATACTTAAAAATAAAACAAAACAACATGACTACAACAAATTCTGTACATGATCTTGAGTAAATTCCTTAAGCACACAGTGAAGTTCCATCAGCTTCAACTATGTGTTAGTGTCTGGAAGGATTTACAGTTACACAGGTTACTACTTTTCTTTCTGGCAGTAAGGCCTCATTGATCTTGTCTGTGTTAAAGCCAATAGGAAACTTCCATAAACTTGAGGAGGAGAGACTCCTGTATATGCAAAAATAGTTTAAATAAAATTGCTCAAAGCTTGCTGTAAAATATTACATTGCAGTACAGAAGTAGAGTCTCAGACTTGCACTGGTGTCTCTATGCTTGGTTTAAAATAGTGGAAAAAACAACCTGACCAAACCAAACCAAACCAAACCAAACCATCAATATCTTCGAGTCTGTTATCTCAGACTACCTGTTAGGCTTTTCTGACAGTCAAATACTGGACACAAAATTAACCTGGACAATCTATAGTTATCATTGCACCTACTTTAACCATTTTCCTTTGTTCTATTTTAGGTTGAATTAAGACCATACAGTATGGTATTTACACTCCAAGATTCTATAGGCAAATGAAGTGGCTTCAACACAACACAGTCTTATACAAACTTCCAAGAAAATAAGAAATCCTCCATTGATTCCCATTGTACAAAAAATTGCCAACTTTGTCTACACAGTAGAAACTGAAGAGGCAAAGTTTGTATCCTTATATAAATGCACATACATATATATAGAGAGATATATATATGTACAGATGTCCATACTATATAGATATAAAACCACAAACATATGTATATATGCATATATATACATACATAAGAAAAAACACATTGGTTTAGTTTGCATCATTCAGGAGAATAACATATCCCAAGTTAGGTAAAATCTTCTGGCCAGGAAGCCATTAAATCACACTTGGAGTTCACAAGGGTAAGCACACTGGCATATGCCGAACCTTTGGCAGTCAACCATACAGCTTTTCGGTTTTTAAAACAACACTCTCCATGTCATGGTATCCCTTCCCATTTAAATGTTCACTGGTGCAGTCGTGATTGTAGCTGTAGCCTTGAACATCACTGATTGACGATACAGTGTAGGAAGCGGTGCGCATAGCATCCGAGTGGCTGAAGCTGTGCTCAAATTGGATTTTGTACTGATTCCAGTGTCTTCTCAAAACAGCTTGGACCTATGCCAGAAAACAAAAAGTAATGCATATAAAACACTTGGCAAGATATCACTGGACTTCATTTTTTTATGCATGAGTGCCATAATAAATGTGTCTAAGCAAATTAGGGACTAAGGCTCAGTAGTCCTGGAATGGGGGGGTACCTACATGTGATCTGTCACATAGGAGGTTCTGAAAGATTTACGATTTAAGTAGGCATTATTCTTTGGCAAATTTGGTGTGAAATAGTTACATTTTACAATTGTAGTGTACTAGTTGCTCAGAAAAAGAACAGGTTACTGGAGGAGCAGCAGCAACACAATTTTCTGCTTTCTCCCCTGTGGACTGAAGCCCAGTGTGGACAGATCACATTTACAGGTGAAAAAGGTCATTTCCATTTAGCCTTATATTCAAAAAGCCACATCCTCAGCAGGTGTAAATTTTTATACTCTCAACAAACCATAATTTACATTTGCTATGGTTCTGGAACAAGAAAGCCTTTCTTAATTTCTGACCAGACCTTAATCAAATGAATAGAAGAACAATTTCCCAAACTCCATATTTCCACCAGCATTAAAAATAAAGCTGATGATAAAACAGCTGAAGGCCCCAGCTGTTTTACATGTCTTCACTGAAAGGATGTTATGTTTATCATAGCCTTCCTCTCCTACAATATGGTTAAACACCTGTACATATTGGATTGATGAAATGCCACATTCAAGAAATTCACATGGAATTACTCTTGCAGTGCAGATGCCAAGTGAGGAATGCTAAGAATTGTAATAGCTATTGTTGTTGCTTTTTCAAGAGGTTTTTTTTTTTTAATTTTAAAAAAACTGCCCACAGATCATGAATATTTAATTTCCTCTTCAGCCAAACTTTTTATACAAAGTATTCCTGTGTTGACTGGCAAGGCACTGACTTTCAAGAAACGCTGAGGGGGACATCGACACATTTATGCAGCAGTGCACCCCAATTCACAAGCCTCATTCACAAGCATGACCTTCGTTTCACTTTGTTACATACAAAAGAACTAAACAGTGAACAGTGATTCCCCCAGTTAAATGTTGATATAGTGGGTAAATATTTTTAAGATTTTCCATATGTCTTCAGGGTTTCTTTTTTGTTTGCTTTACATTTCCCTAACACAATGTAGTCTTTTGTCTAATTTTACTCTGGCTTTAATTACGAAAAATAAAAATAAATAGAAAAAAAGGGATGTAATTTTTAGACTTCCTGCACTCTGGTATCAGAATCTTCTGTTTAAAGGAGAACTTCATATTTCTCAAAATCCTTACAAAGAAAATATAAAAGGGTAAGGGAAGAAGGATCAACTGAGTAACAGAAGACATTAGTATTTTAGGGCAAAGGAGATGCTCTTTTACTGTTCATAAAACCATTCCAATCCACTCAAAACATCTAAACACAAATCTACAAACCCTGAAGAGAAATCAGGTTTCTTAATACTTCTGAGTATCTGATCTTATCACTCTTCATATCAAAAGTCTATATTTCTTCCGAGTCCAAATGGAGAGCTCTTGGTTCATCACAGGAAGGGTTCGATTAACTAATTTGCATTGCATAGCAAGATATAGCCTTAAATCTTCATATGGGTTGAATCCATTTCCTGTAATCCCTCATAAAGCCAAGAGAAGATGCATATTCAAAATTCCATCTTCTCCTAGAAGGAAGCTTGGAATTTATTTTTAAATCATATCAATCAATCTGTGCACATCACTAAGCTATGCTCCATTTGTTCTTCTTTCCATAGTCAATTACATCAATAAGGTTAGTGTTTTACTGTACACCCCCACAAAAAAAATTACATATTCAGTTATTTTCACTTTAAACAACACAGGCTTGAGATGGGAAAATGTCAGCAACTGCAACTAAATGGCTTAACCAAGGTCAAAGAAGTCTATTGGCAGAGCTGGGGAATAAACTAGACTTGCCAAATTGCAAAAAAGCCTTACACTCAGGTCCTCTCCCACACCTCCTCCAGGCTGCTTCAGCAGCACTTGTTTGTTTGTCTTATTTTCAATTGTTAATAATATTTCTAAACCAGTCCAAAAGGATATCAGTCCCCATAGCTCAAGAAAGCCATCAGTATTCCTGCAAGACAAGTGCCTTTGGGCTACTTCTAGGGAGAAAACAGTCTGTTTAGCTTGCTCTCTGGCCAGTGACAGATTGCTATAAATAGTGTTTCCTGTATGGGCAAACACCGTTTCCTCTATGCCCGCCTCAGTGCCCATCGCGCGCTCTCGGTGCATTTCTAAGCCATGTATTTCTGGCACTCTTCCCAAAGCCTCTCTGTTACTGCTGAATCAGTATTTCACCTCTGTCCTGCTACATGTCTATTCTTGTAGGGTGTTGCATCCTTTCAATAATTAATACTGTCTTTCAGTCTTCTCTAAACCATCCAATCAATCGTTTATAGAAGAAGATGGGGAAAAAAATCAATGCGACAACTAATTTTCACCACTAATTATACTCTGTTTAACAATATGCATGTCTAGCAACGAAGGGAAAACAGATCTTTTAGTGCTCTTTCCTCAGCTTTGAGCAGTTGCACAGAGCTGTAAATTCAACTTAGGAGGGGCAGCAATTTGTTACTTTGTTATAAGAAAGGGCATTATACAATGCATTTAATGAAGGAAAGTAATGTAATAAATATAATTGTATTTCTCAGCCATTAATAGAGGTGCCCGTTCCAGCTGGAATATTGTTGCTTTCTCACCTTATAAGGTAGCAATGGCTCTTTTTGATGAATTTCCATAAAGGGGTCCTTCCAATCAGCTCTTCAACATACTAGTAGCTTGATGTTCAACATGTCACTAACTAAACAGGCTCAGTAGCAAACAAGGAGAAAAAAAACCCACAACACGCCTCGCCTGTTGAGAATGGGATTGTATAATCCTGCAGACCTGACACCACAATCTTTACTGCAACATTTCTATAGACCAGTGGAAGGAAAGAAAAAAATCCAAGCTACGCAAAGCTTACATGGATAATGTAGGTCATTATTATCACCTGTTATTCATAGCTCAATAGGAACCTTTCTAGTGATTTATCAGAGATCTGGGACAAGCTTCTCCTCTGACTGCAGCCTGTGTCACCCCCCAAGGCCACTCTAGTCTAACTCGAACTGGAGAACCTGATGAGGTAGTCAAACAGCATCTTTGTGGGGTGCTGGGACATAAGCAAAATGTGAGCGTCCTTAGGGAAGCCCTGCCACAGAAAATAAAGATGAAGGGTTTGCACATACGCCCTTGTCTGTAGGAGGTTTGGGACAAACAGCTGCAGTGCTTTTAGTATTTTTAATTGCTAATATCCCACTGGAAAATTTTTGCCCCATTGTCAGTGTCAATTCCAATATCAGCATTCACCTTTAAACCATAGACTTGCTGCAGACAAGCGTTAACATCACTCTCTGATGCCTATCATTCTGCAGAGTCTCTAATGAGCTGTTGCTATGACAGGTGATGATAAAGCAGCAGCATCCACAGAACAGCAAAGCCACAGTTGCAGGCTTTGTTCAGGCATTTGGTATGACAGCAACAGACTATAATGGCAACAGAACACACGTGTGCCTGCAGGCTCGCATGCCAGGAGCAGAATCTTGAAGTAGAGAAAGGAAACCGTTTTTTCTGTGTGGACTTTTTTTCCTAACTACACCGTCATTCTCCCCATGGATTTCCTTACTGATATAGTTGTTTATAAAGCAATAAGTCCCTTCTTGAACAAGGTGTGATTAAAAATAAAAAGTGAATAGTGGTCACTGAAGCACTGAACACAAAACTGGTTTAAAAAGCATAAAATTCCACTCTAGAGAGAGCAAATACAGACATGTATGTTTAACTAACAAAGTCAAGGCATAGGGTCTAAAAATTAAATGTCTAAATTAATAAATGTTCAAATGGCTAAATCCCCTTTTTAACATTATCCTGCTGGCAGATGTGCAAGAAGTGATTCATTTGTCACCACTTGTAGGAGTTGTGGAAGAGCTCATCTTTTACCACTGATCAGCCCATGGTGAATTTAGGATACTGAATTAGTGGGATGACTCAGGTTTGCTTTTCTTACACAGCAGAAGAGAGCATGTAAAAAATATGAGTTTGTAACAATGGAATATTAACAGATACCATTCTTACTGATTGTATCATATTTTAAAATTAGGGTTTCAACTTGTTCAAGTAACAAAGTAGCCTCAGAAGATCCACAAGGATTAAAGGGCTGAGCTGAGAAGTGGACAATGTTGTTTCATAGAAACTACAGAGATTTTAAGTGTGTGTCGTTCCCCCCCCCCCCCCATTTTGCACTGGAGCAGAACAAATTCTGTCTGATTTCTTCCAAATATCTGTTTTTAGAAGGCATTCTGAACTATAAAATTTAGAACAGAAAGAGCGTGTAAAATATCAGTGCTGAATGTGGGCAAGTGATCAAATCAGATCCAGAACGCTTAATGATGTGTTCTGCTTTGAATCAAATACATAAGCAGGGACTTGAACCTGGATCTACTCTATGTTAAGATCAGATCAAAACCACTGCTCCATGCCCACTAAACTGTGAGAAAGCCTATCTTCATCTTTTCTGCCTCCTTGGCAAAAAGTCATTGAGATGCTTACATTTCGGGGGTGGGGGGAAAAAAAACAACTTGAAACCCCATGGTAGTTTCTTTGCAATTCAGTCAACTTCAGACTTAGGAAGAGGAGGAAGGGCAATCCGCATAAATCAATTCTAGTATGAGCCAAATATTTACCTGTACGTCAATGTTACTGTCCAATAACATTATATAGGCACACTGATACAATTTTACAACATCTGATGAAAGAAAATAAGGGTTGAGTCACATGAAAACATCTGGCTACTCCCACACATCTGCTTACAGCCGTATACTGCAACTGCACTAAATGTAGAACAAATGAACAAACAGATATGTAGGAATAAATGTAGGACTGTAATTGTTCCTCTACCAGAAGTGTTGGAAAAGTACCAGTTAGTTTTTTGGTGAGGTGGTTTTAGTTTTTGGGTTGTTGGGTTCTTTTGCAAGCAAGAGCCATATTAGCGATTTTGTAGATATATATTTTTTTAGCCTTTCTACCACTTTGATCTCTGACACTGTAAGGCCCTCTAAGTGTACCCTCTACAGCTTGGGGGCCAGAGTTCCTAGAGAAAAGTCACTGTGTGCACTCCAGAGTTACAGGACCTTGATCTATTCAAGATAACAGCAAAGCTTGTTAGCTTCAACAGGATCAGAACCATATATTACTGAAATATGGCACAATCCTCTAACATAAGAATAAAGAAGTTTGTTCTTGGAATTGACTGATGATGATTCCTTAAAAGTGCACTTCTTATTCAACACACATTTCTGACCCAAGCACGATAAACTATTCAGTTCTGATTTTTTGAATAGTATTTCTCAGCAGTGCTAAAAAACCAGTTTTCCAAAGTTCAGCCTAAAATTTTCCCAAAGAGCTGTCATAACACAACAGTACCCCAGCACATCAACATGTATGCAATATGCTCTATTCCTGCTGCAGAAAGACCAAATACAGTGATTCTCCAGGACAACAGATGCTGTACAGCTTCTAAGACAGACAAACATACCATCTGGATACTGAATTACATTTTACTTTTACACGATATTTATTGAGAACTCATATCAAAGGGACAACTGTCTTCAATTCCTTATATAATCAGGAGACATGTATATTGCTCAGCACAAGAGTGTCAGTCCTAAAGAACCTAATGATGCCAAGAATGATGGCATAGTCTTTCCCAAGCTCTGCTCTTGGCAGCCAGATTAGTTTTTTAAATTAATTTTTACCTGACAAATTTAGATTTAGAAATTTTTTAAAAATTATTTAAGAATTACCATCTCTTTAATTGCTGAAAAAAACCCAAAAATATATAAAATAGGAAAAGTATTATAAATGTATTAAAAACTGTTACTCTACCTCTCCATTAAAGAAGCAGAAAATTGTAGCCACCAGTAGACCCTGTAAAATAAAAATTAAAAAATTCTGCTTTATTTCACATGCATATGCATTTTTCCAGGTTGAGATAACTAGAGGTTCCTCATAAAATTCAGATATAGACAGCAAAGAAAACATAGTACAAATGTAAACTTGCTGAATTATTTCTAAAAATACATTACTAAAAAGTATTGGTCCAGCTATCTACCATGATGTTTCTTTCCTTTAAGAAATGAAAATTCAGCATAATGAGAAAGTTAAAGTCATTTATAAGAATACTGCATGAAGGTCTTTAAAAATTAAAATAACAAGATCATTTCTCCTTTATTTGCTTCAGATGCCAACTGCTATCTAGCTTAAGCGAGCAAAAACTGTTTAATGCTTTCTACCTGGTAGTGCATAAGGATGTGCATCACATAGTCATACACTTCCTCAGCGATCCGGCCTTCTGGTCGCCATGGAAACAGCACAAATTCAATGCCAAGTAGTGGAACAAGAATCAGGGTAGCTCTCACTGCTTTCATGTACAGGTTGGATTCTGCCTTGTGGGTGTCTTTCAGCTTGGTTATGAGAACACGAACGATATTTAGCAGGAAGAAAAGATTCACCTGTCATAAAAGAAAATGACACTGAAGATAGCCTGAAAAATAATCCCACATACCGTTTTGTGATACTAAAACCAGAAACTCAAGAAAACTCATACTACGTGGATAGCATGGTGATTGTACAATAGGCATGAGTTAAAATTCTTTGAAAACACCTTTAAGTAACTGAGAGTGGGCTCTAACATCTATTGCCCATGTCCATTCCTCTAACTTATTAAGCAAGTGTCCATCTAGATAAATGTCCATCTTCCACTGTAACAATCTACGCACCTTTCTCTCTGCTATCACAATAACAGCACATAGGTGAATGATTAGGTTTTTTTACAATGATGATGTCTTTTTAGGTTGGTCAAGAAAGAGGATGACACTATTCCCTCTTTGTATTTAAATATGGTTCTTCAAAAGGCTGCTTTTTTATTTTTCAAATATGAATTAGACAAATTTATAGAAAAGAAACAAATGAGATTTTTAAAAAATAAAAAAATAAAAGAAAATAAAATTGCAGTCAAAATGCTGCTACAAGGAACTGTATACTCCTGTAGACAAACAGCAAATTTAACATTCTTACAGTGGCCAATGTTTGACTTGAGCTGCAAATGGGGCAAGCACTGAGATGATGCTCTACATCATTCTCATGCACTACTGAACTTGATTATTTCCATAACTTTTAAGGCTCTTCTTGTTAACAGTGGTGCATATCTGTTCATTCAGTTTCACAAAACAAACAAACAAACAAACAAACAAACAAAATCCCAAACTGAAATCACAACTATGCAGACTTTATCTTTCAATATGTGAGCACTCATTGTAAGCAACCACCAAACTAATACACGCACACACGCACGCGTATATGTGTGTGTATGCGCACCCGCCACCCCCAACAGCCTAAGGATGTGAGCAACCAGAGCAACAGCAACGTTATGGATGATTACACCGTATTTTCATCTATTGTGCAATAATGGCAGCCTCTTATAGAAACTAGAGCTAGAAGAGACCTTGAGAGCTCAGCCAGTTCCATCACCTTGCGCAAGGGCACAGAGGCAAGACAATGCTGCTTAGGGCACCCACTATGGAAGGGACAGACCTGGTCCTGTCTCTTCTTCCAGATAATTGTCTGTCCTTGTCAACAACTATCTAGAGACAAAAGTAGGGAGCAAGGGAAGAAGCCAGCAGACAGAGAGACAGACAATTCCCTTCTCAAAAGACTAGGAATTCCTGTTCTAAGGGGAGGTCTTTGTCTTGCTGTAGGACAAGTGCAAACAGGGAAGCCATTTCAGACCATGTGTGTCACCATGCTCTCCACAACCCTGGCGGAATTCTTTCATGTCAGTTAAGGTTTTCATGATAAACAGCTACGTATTGTTACAGCAACAAGGCCCTTGACAGATATGTGATGCTATTTATATTCTACTTATATGCTATTTAAATCATTTTAACAGGAAATTGTTTTACATAGGAAACTACTGCATGAATTTCTCCTGGAAGTCTCCAGCTACCTTTAAGCTTTGTTTAAGCAACCAAGGTCTTCTGATTTTTTCTCAAGGGATTTATTTCGATTTTATGCAGCCCACGATCCTCATCCAGCTTCCTATAGTACACATAGACAATAAGTCCTTCTTCCATTTCTAAATTTAATCCTTCTCAAATCTACTAGTTCAACATCCGCATGTCTCAAACACAGAGTTTTCAGCCCTCTCGTGTTTTGGTAGCATGGCCAATTCCTATAATACTGTCCTTGAATGCTAACTGAAGATGAAAGTTGCAGCAGCCAGGAGTGAAATACCACCCAGCAAATTATTTCATTTACAACATGCTGAAATGCACAGAATTTTTCTAATTGTTCCACTTACCCACCAAAACCAAAAAGCACAAAAATAAGCACACAAAGAGTTTGCAGATAGGTATTAGTGTAAACAGAAAAGACAAACGAGGCAAAGCGGAGGACAGAGAAAAAAGTATGATTGTCAGTAAAAGTATGCAGCACCAATTTTTGATGTACATCTCTTCTGTCACACATACAGTGAGATCAGGATGAACTGAATTCTTAAAGTGATGGAAACAGGCCTTGACTTTAGCAAAGTAGTGAGTAGATTTTTACATTTCAGGAAAAGAAGGCCAGTGGAACTACTCGCATATATGTTATCATCAAATTGACTGTGATGGTTTGTAAAGCCCCAAAGGAGTCCCGTTGTGCTAGCTGCAGTATAAACACAGAGTAAAATACCAGCAGCTCCACAGTGACCTGAAAAGTGAACCGGGCAAATGAACAAAAATGGAAACAAAGGCAGAGGAGGCAATCACAGATAAAAAGAAATGTTGGCACCTGTACTGGGAACTTAGTAGAATTTAGGTTCTGCCTTAAGAGTGGCTGCGAACTTAGCTGAGCTTATAAGTCAATAGGTGCCACAGTTCTTGAATTAAACTCTCCTCAGGTCCCTGATATTTCTACTTCTCTCCATGTTGAGTCTGTGCTAAGCAGTACGGTAATCCTTATTAGCATGTGGGTTTAAATTCTGTTTAAATTCCTCCTTAGGATGATATAAACAGACCATTCTCAGCTCAAGAAACTCAGATATTCTTAGATACTAGCTGGTAGCCATTGTGTGGCTTTTAATATAGTTATGCAGCTTCAGATCTTAGCCTGCTTGAGCCTGGCTTGCTTGGGCAGAACATCCGTATGTGCTCATGAAGAAAAGTTTTGTACCTGGCCTGTGGACGTTCCCAAGGCCAGGCACATGAATGCTAAGCCTTCAACTTCTAAACTCCTAAGTCTTGTACTGAGTCCAGCTTGAAGTCATTAAATAGGTCAGTGACAAAGATAGGAGCTCCTGAACTTCCTTCTAGTACATGTTCACTGAGTACACTTACTTCCTCTGCTAAAACAATTTGCATCTCTAAAAGGCTGTCAGTCTAAGACACTAATACATAACATTATTATAGGGCAAAAAAAAAAATCTCTGTAATATTATTTATATAAATAATGGCATAACTAAATCAAAATCTACTCTTTCAGTGGCACCAATGCAAACTAATTCAGTAGTGCACTGGCACATCTGAAATCTACACTGAATTCACTACTGCTTTCACTAAAATTCAAACCCATTGCTTTTTTCACCTCCTGCATTTTGATCAATTCTTGTCTAGTGTAAAAACTACCATCACACTCTACTGTTCCATTCCCACACTATTTCTTTAATTGTGGTTGCTTAGGTAAATGGTTGTAATTCAATGGTCAACTGAAGACAATTCCAATCAAAATTCATCCTATGTCTGCTCCCACTTCCAGTTTCTTTGGCAGGGATCCGACCACAGTTATGTAATAACAGGGACCGTAAAAGCAGCGTTATTGTTAACTTTATGTAATTGTAGGTTTTTCAGTGATGTACAAGAGTTACATTCCCATTGGCTTCTGCCAATTCTCCCTGGCACCCACTTGACAGTCCTCTTCATGTTTTTTGAGATCTTGCTCCTGAAAGTAGAAACAGTGTCTTCTCCCTTGTTATCTAGTTTGCAGTTTAATATTGTTGCTTAAATGTCTACTAAAGCAGGTCATGCTTAGTAAAGTGTGAAAATTTTATCTGGCAAGCAAGCTGCTTAAGCAAATGAGGGTTCTGTTCACAAAGCCTAAACACATGCATTTCATCTAATGTCTTTATCCCTGGCTTGTCTTTTCTGAATTAACATATTTTTTTGTTATCCGAAAGGAAAGCAACTCCTTTAAGGTATTTTCACATCACAGGCAAGATGTGTAGTTGCGTTTAATCTTTATTATTCCTACATGGTTTTCAAATAAATTTACTGATGGTACTGAGGCAAGAAAAATGCAAGAGAAACGCCTTCAGTCAGCTCATGAAAAATACAGGAATATCAAAGGTATACATATTTGGAAACTGCAAAGAGAATGGACGCAGATTCTGCCCAAACCAACCTCACAGAGGCGATTATTATGCCTCCAGCAAAATCAAAGGACATTCTTAGTGTTGCCTTGAATGGGGAGAACACTTGACAGTTTGGGGCTGATCCAGTACATTTGAAATCAGCAGGAGTCTTGTCATGGTTTTCAATGTGACTTTGTAGATGCCACTGCTGGGAAGGAGAAAATGATCTTACATCCTAAAATGAGGTCACTTCATGCAAGATGGTACAGTCTTATAATTTTACACAGTTTTTTTTACTGTTGTTATTTAAGCAAGCACTAATACAAATTATATTTCAGCTTTAAAGAGCTTTACTTAAGTGATATATCTGTGAAGAGACACCTGGACAAAGGAAGTAACAATCCACAAGGCAATGCAGAATAGCATACATATTCTGGGTGAAATACAGCACCACTGAAGTGAGCAAAATACCCCTATGCCTTTCTGTGAAAATAGGATTTCACCTTCTGTGTAAATCAGAGAGAAGAAAATTTAGAAAGGATTTAGAAATGGTTTTAAGTTTACAGATTAGAGCACTCATTAAAGTGTCTTTACATGAACATATATAGCAGACCTGACTAACAGGACATTATCAGTAATAATTCACACCCCATGGGCCATGGATCTCAATAATTTCATGGGGACTGCCCCTGGCTTCCCATGCAGAGGGCCTCAGGTGTGTCATGATAGCAACACAATCTTCAAAATATAAGTTCACCAGCTAATATCATTGTGAATGAAAATGGGAGTCACAAGAACCACAGGATTTATGCAACGGTCTTCAGAGAGAATTCGCTATGCACAGAATGCCCTCTGCAAGTATTCATTAACAATTTAACAGAAGAGGAAGTTCATGTAGATCAGAAAGTGCAATTATATCCAAAAAGTTACTCAGTGTTTTCATTCTTAATGAATTTCCTTGGATGAACTGAAAAGCTGTAAGAAAAGTCAGCAGACATGCATACAATACTTTTGCCAGATGAGCTTGAAGTTTCTGCTACAGTAAAAGAGATGACTGTAGTATATAGCCAGCAGCTAATTCTGGTCACATGTAGAATGCCTCTACACAGCAGCATTCTCTACATTATGCATTCATAGATATCAATTATCTGGATAGTTGTGTAAGTAGGTACATATTAGTATTTTCTTTTATTATGCACCTATTTCTATTTAGCAATAATCTACTGACCGATTTTCATAGGTTAAATTCAGTCCTAGAATAACTGAAGTACAACACTGATTTTTATACAGTGGGGTCTTGAGCAAGTTACCTAGAATTTAATGTCTTCAGTAGTAAACATTTGGCTAATAGAGCTGGCATTAACTTGAAGTGTAAGACAGAACACTGTGCTCTGAGTTCATGAGGACTAATAGAGCAGAGGAGTTGCAATACCCGGGTGGCCAAAGCACACATTGCTAGATTAGTATCAAAACAGGGGCAGTCACACTTACTTGCAGAACTATTTCCACTGGTTCTTTCCCAAGGGCCTGCTCTAGTTTCTCTCCATCCTGTGTTCCCACCCGCAGTCAGTCATGCCATTCAAGAACCCTTGTTCTGAATCTCAGCGAGGTCCAGTCCAGTAGCTGTTTGGCCACCTTAGCACTGTGACACAATGATGCTTGTAATAGGGTCAACCTGGTAAATGGCCTGGGCAGGGAGAAAGCACTCTCAGCTGAAGGAAGGATTTGAAAGTGGCCCTCCAGTACTCCAGGTAACATTTAGTCCTCTCCTTGTCACTAGCATTTAAGTGGGATGATAATCAATATTGCTAAACCTGAGTTTCTCAAAGGACCAGGGGTACAGCTCCTTAATAAGGCCAGGACTTACGTATCTGGTGCATCTAAGGCACCAAGTGTGTTAAGTGAGAGTCCTGCGAATGACAGTGACCTCTACATGTTAGCTGTAGGCTCTTTCCAACTTTGTAAGTCCCTGAAGAACAGCCAGAAAACAAATATGAAAAACAAATTATTATCTGAAAAATGCCTACCAGCAGAGCAGCACAAATAGGTCCATGGATGATGTACAGCAGATGAGTATCAGAGCTGATCCAACAACTAGAGAAAACAAACAGGAAAAGAAAAAAACATTTGGCATTTTATTATCTGTTGTATTCCTTTTTTTTCTCCCTTAAAGAAAACATAACAGTTTTGCAAAGCAAGCTGAGATGTCACTTACTTGTCATTATAATATAAACTTCTAGCAACGGCATGTATGCAGGCAGGGATCAGTGGAAAACCTGCGAAGAAAAAAGTGTTTTCTTCATATATAAACCTGGCTAATAACTAAGTAAACTTGTGTCTCTTGCAGGAATCTTCTGTATTTTCATCTCATCCAAACTATATACCTGCAGAGCAAATAAAGTAACAGGGACCAATTCTGTTTCTATTTTCTCAGATTTCTTTCCGAGGGGCGTATGGAACCTTATTCCCACTGTCTTGCCAGGAACTTCATACCAACACAGAGAAAGAAAAGGCAAATCAAATTATAACTTTTTAGAATGCAACAATCAATCTTCATTAACACAGATGTTTATCAGCCTGCAAGCTGCAAGGCTAAACAGGTAGGTAATATTAAAAAGGTAATTGTATACGTGACCATAGCTTTAACAGTATGATTAACAACGTTGATCATGTCCTCACTCATACTTGCTGGGTATTCAGAAAACAAGGTCACCTGCAAAACAAATTTGAAAACAGACGCTGGAAACCAGGCCGAATTAAAAATTTAAGAAGAATAGAGAAATTAGTTATCTGGTAGTACCTAATTTTCAGAAACTGCTGAGCACTTATGATCTTTGAACCACATCTCAGCTGTGTCTGTAGCTGGACAGCTAGGGACCCAGGTACCAAGTCATGTTATAGCTGAATGTGCCAAGACACTGAAGCTGAGGAGAAAGCCCTCACTTGCACTTTGTGAACATGGTGTTGTACATTATCTGAAATTACCAGGTTTAGCTTGTTAGTTTTGATACTGATATTACCTGAGACCTTCAGCTACAGCTATTCTGTATTTGCTTAGTGAACAATACAGGTCAAATGGAACTGCTGGAAAAATAAATCCTTGGCCATCTCTAACTCAGTTCTGACCCTCCACCCTAGACATGGCGAGACTTCTCTGAAAACAAACATTCATTCCTGAATAAACATCTTCGAGATGAGGAACAATGAATAATTACTTCTTAATGTCTTTTTTTATAATAGGAGACTATTTTCTCTATACAAAGGAGGAGTCACTTCCTGACTCCAGAAATGCATAATCTCTCTTTCAGCAGACAGAGGTACATACAACTTCCTACGTTAACATTTCTAAGCCTGTTAAAACACTACAGACAAAGAAGAGGGGCGTGTCATCGTTGTTCAAAGCTACCAGCTCAGAGAAGCAAAGGTACAGATGTTTGAATTCTCATGAAAAGGAGGAAGAGATTGAGTTGGCCTGAAAATACAGAACGTGAAATTGCATACCCCAGCCAAGAAGGTAATACCACATCAAGTGTTGTTTCTCAGCAAAAACAGCCACCACAATGAGAGTATGCAGGTAAATGCCTTCACACAGCATCCAAAAGTAGTTGCAACCCATTAGGTACAGGTAGATGAACTGTGACACTTTGCAACTAACCTGGAGAAAAAAGCAGAGGACAATATAAATTTTTAAGTTACAAAAATCTCAGAGCTTTATTTGCAAAAGGGAAAAAAATACTACTCAAGTCAAACATTAATGTTTATTCTGTTTTTCACTACAATCACCTTTTTTTTTAATAGCATTTTCATGGAATTACTATTCCATACTTTATGGTGATAAAAAAGATGGTAACCGAGTCTGTATTTTAATTATTCAAATGTGAGGACCTCGAGATCCTCAAGCATGATGGCAGAAAGCTGTAATGATATTTTCCCCTACTGCAAACATTGCCACATTTGACCATTCCAAACAATAGGGAATCCTTAAATTATCTGATGGTAACTGCACAAGAAAATGTACTGTGATGAGGGTAAGCCCCTCTCAGTTTTACCAATCACAACATACAACTACTCCAGAAAATTATTTATGTTTTTAAAATGCTTACAATACTTCCAATTTTAACCTAGCCATAACTGCACGTAGGGCCTGTTGAGAGCTTGCATAGTAGGTTCTGGAAGGAAGCTCTCTTGTTGGCATATATTTATATTTAGCTTCATTCAAAAGTTATTCTTCAGTTGAAATGTTATAACTTATTGTGAAGACTAAAATGTGAGGTTGTGAAAAAGGAGCAATAGTTAACTTGCAGATTAGGACACAGTAGATCCTTTTTTTTTTTTTCTCCTTCTAAAACTGCTGTGTTTGATAGATCTATTTCTGGCACTTAGCTTAAAACAAACCAAAAATCAATATTGTTTTACCATGTTCTGCTACCTAACTCACTTGATGATGATTATTAGCAGCTATCTCAAGCCTGTTTTCCAGCACTTTGATGAGCTTTTACAGGAGAAAGAGAATTTATCTTTTTACTTGATTAGGCTTCTGGAGTTTTGCCCCAACTTTCACAGAATTTAAATTTATCTTCCAGGTCTGCATAAAAATAAAGCCATAGTTTTGTTTGTTTTTGTATTTCATTTTCAGGCTCTTCCGTTGCTATAACTCTGAGCCTTTTGGGAGAGGCTACTGATTCACACTTACCCCAGTATTATCAGGAAATGAGAGAGGGAAAAATCAGACCCAAATGGATGGCTTTTTTTATTTTGCTTTTTACTTTTAGAATATAAGGGTCAGGTTTAGATCCTTTCGGGGGGAGAAAAAAAAAAATTCTTCTCATTTCAACTGAAGATGGCAAAGTTAAAGCCATAGGAAATTTTCTGGCATCCAAAATACACTCCAAAGCTTTATTTACTGCCTTTCATTAGTGAATTCAACTGTCATAACCTCACTGACATCATCTAAAATAGGCTACTTTCTTGCAGTTGTTTCAGTGCAAAAGCGATTTGTACAAATTCAGAAGAGCAGTTCAGTATGCTCTGTCTCTTAGAGTGTTTTTACTGTTTTGAAACCTCAAATGTGAAATGCCTAAATCATTGTTAGTCATCTGTTGTACTACGTAACATGGATACATCATTACTGAACATTTTAACCTAGCTATATACAACATTTCATCAACTATTCATGTCTCATTTATCTCTTCTGTGTTGCTGAAGCTTTTCACATACAAATCAACAAGGCTGCCAAATATACTTTCACTTACTGGATTAGTTGCAACTAACTCCTGATTGTTGGCAACTGCAGTCAGTGAAATTATTGTTACAACAGAGTTGCAAACAAAAGAGAAAAATAGATTTTTATGCAGGGTAATCCTTTGGCAACTCAAGCTCCTGGAAAAGAGAAACAAGAACAAATGAATACACAGGGGGACAACTGTGTGTACTTGGGGACAACTCTAAAACTTTGAAATACTAGAGCTCTTTATTTTATTAAGAGGTCTTACAATGCTTTCTTCAGCTCCAGTCCAAATTTAATAGAATGATGTGAAAGGTAACACCTTCCCTTAAATGCCAACAGGAGGCAAAGCAAGTACATTCAGTTTCAATATGTTTACAGTGAAGGACCTGCTTTGTAGTGGCTATCTAAAAAAGATTTGAATGGTGATAATATAACATGTTTCAGAAGATCTATACCTTTATTTTATTGGTACCTGAAGAATTTCCCAATTAACTATCACACCTGAACTTGAAGAAGCTGTCTTACCCTATGTTTCCATTTACCCAAACCTGTAAAGATTTTTTGAGGATAATTCCTTTACTCACATTCTTGTCATCTTTCTCCCTTAATCCTATAGCTAGAGAAATACCCAAATAAGTAAAATAACACAAATCTTATTTTGACTTTTGTATATAACTAAGTTATAAACAGTATATACAATACAATTATAAAATGCAATATATAACTGCATTTAATTGTGTTAATTTTCAAGGTTTGCTTTTAATCTTGCAATAAAATTAAAGAGAAAAATATCTTTGGAAGGGCTTGCTTTATTTTAAACAGAGGTTCAATAATATTAAATAATACTAGAAGTTGAACACAGTTGCAGCAAACTTCTATTTGTCTGTCATTCTAGAGAAAGCAGGTCTAACTTAGTGCCATTCCATCCAAGAGGCAGGAGTGCTTCTCATTCAAGTTTTTCCAAAGAAATTCAGCTTTGGAGACAAACACAAAAGAAGACAGAAAGCCTGTATGGATATATAAACAATTCAGATCATTGAGATATTAAGGCTTAACACTCCAAATTCCCAGAAGAGCAAGTAACATCCGTTTTGTTACGAAAGCAGATGACGGGTTTACAAAGTTGGGTAAAAATGATCCTTTCAGATTTAAGTTAGGGGGTGCGCAGCACGCACAAGCAAACTGACTTGATCAGTCATATGGCACGTAAGTACTGGCAGTCAGGAACACAGCCCAGTTTTGCAGGGCTAGCTTTGCTCAGAGAAACCTCTCCCACACGCACAGAGAAGTGATAAAGACTGTGGTACTGTGGTCACTCTCAGGAAATGCTCTTTGGTTGCTTCAGAGAAAGCATCTACTGGAGCCTCAGCTGTAAAGAGTCTGTGCTTTATAACCACACCTACCTACCTCCATTTAATAGCCAGCAGTTGACTGACAAAATTAAATGACTAACTGGAGGAAGAAAATCTATCACTTACACATGCAACTGCTGTTCACTGTTAGAGAAATCAGAAATATATTGACAAGGTCGTCAGGGGACAAGTCTAAATTGTCACACTGGGGAAAAAAAAAAAAAGAAGTTTTCTAGCCTTCTCAAATAGCACACCTGGAAGGAAAGATGAAGTATGGACATTGTGATTCATTTTTAATTTGGGAGGGCAAGACAGAGAACTTCATATTTTAACTGAAAAATGCAGCTATGGAATAGTCACAAAAGCTGGGGGAGTATACTGAAATCCATTGAGAAATGCGACAGATGAAGCAAGAAACAAAATGACCCCACTGAACACGAGAGACAGTCAAAAAAGAGTGGCTAGAGGTGACTGTGCTTCTTGGTTGCATTCTTTGCAACTGTCACAAGAAGAGCGTATGAAGCACCACACAGATACATGGAGTAAGTTAACAGGTTCAGATATGCACAGTGCAATACCATGAATCAGGTGGAGTTTCTGCAAGTCAAGCCTTGGAGCCCTGAGACATTCTAAGCCTCATGTCCCTAAACAAGGGGGAAGGAAACCACTCTAGAAACCAGTGCTGTCATACAGCACAAGGAACTACCCTACATGAACCAAGGGTTGCCAAGGGTTATTTGTCTGAAGAAAATAGAAAAAAAAAAAAGTGTCTGAAATACAGAACACAGGTTCGGATATGAATTAAGTGATAAAGCATATTCCATTAGGCTTTTTTAAATTTTATCTTTGTCTTTTGTTTTAATGCCCCAAAATGCATAAAGCTCTGTAGTACGCAGTTTTTAATGTTCTTTGAAAATGTTTTGGTTTGGTTTTTTTTTCCTATACGTTTTATATATGAAAAGACAGGCAACTCTAGATTCCAGCTAAGGGCTTTGTGTAAACAAGTCCTGAAGAACTCTGGAATTCTGTCTGATTATTGTTAAGTTTCAATGCACAGGCAAGGAAAAGCCCGTACAGCTAATGGGGCCATCTCTCAGGGTCATCCAGCAGCTGTTCCTGTTGAATATTCAAACACACCCATCCACACCCACCTCCACCCATGCATAAAAGGATTGAAAGGATCACCGGACAAGAAACAAGAAAGCAAGACTGATGACATTTAAAAACGAAGACTGCTTTTGGTAATAAAAGGATTTTTTCCTAAGCCTCCCCACCCTCCTTTCTCTGTTACCCTTCCTAGATTCCTTTTTCTGACTGTTTTTCTTAATGACATAATATCCTTTAACCACTTAATTCTCATAATTATGATCTAAGAACATTTGAATGACCTACCCCTGGACTGAAACATGTGCAGTAAAATAAAAACAGACCTCCTGCTAAATTACCTATTTCCCTTCCTATATGACTTCTGTATGTCTTGGGCATTAGGGAAAAATTCATTTCTCCAAAAGAAAAAAGGTAACATTTCCAAAAGCCCCCAGATGTGTTTGAGACCTAATTTTTTAAGGTATTCAAATACTGCAAAATTCGACCAGGGAGATCCCCATATGCACCTAAGGGGAATTAGCTGTTCAGCTGAAATTAAGGTAAAGTGACTTAGGAACCTCCTATCTCTCTATCATCTATCATTCAGTTGTTTGCCCACTCTTTAAGTGTAGTGTTGCTATCTCCTGCGAGTGCTGTCAAGTGATTTGACATGATGCTTGATCAACAACAACTCCTTTATTTCAGGTGGGTTTTTTTTGTTTGGTTGGTTTGGGTTTTGTTTGCGTTGGGGGGGGGCATCTTTCAAATTATAGCTCCCCTTTCTCTGAATTCACTGGTCTTTTAAGTTTTCTATTGCCTTGTTTTTCTTTCTTTATGAAAACCATACAACTATTTTAACAGAAGATTTATAATAAACACATGTACGATCTAGAGTATGTAACAGAATGAGAAAGCAGAGCCACCGCAAGAAGTTACATTTATGTGTCATAGATGAATTTCCAGAGGGGAAGATCAGTGTTCCAAGTTTATAGCCCATTTTATGCTATTAAACCAAGAACTCCAATCCACTTGGGGAACACAAGTCACAAACTGGGCAACTATTTCCAATGAGACAATTTTCTGAAGAAAAAAACAGAATTTCAAATGAAAAAAATAAAATTAACAAAAACATTTTAATCTTAAAAGAATTTTCATCCAAAACCCAAGTACTTGATATTTGAAAAGCAGAAGATATTTGGAAAAAACCTGTCATTTTTCTTATAGAGAAAAGTACCACCTTTTTAGTCAAACTTAAAGATATTCTAATGGTCAGCAATCCAGCAAATGTCATCCGGAAACTATCAATCGACTACCAGAATAAATTTTTTGGAAACATGACAAATTCAGAGGCACCCCCACACAATAGCAAAAAAAAAGTCCACCTGTTAAAGCTATGAATAATTATACAAGCTTCAGCCGATACATAATACATCCTGGTATTAATCTAGATCCTTAAATACCCTTCTGGTACTAAAAATACTTTAGAGGAACTGTACATCCCAAGAGAACAGCTTGTAGAAGACTTTAGTTAGCTTCCTTTAAATTTTCTAATTTCCTTTTATATCCCAACATAACCACAGTCTAGAAAATGTGGTTTGTGGGTCTGGATTAATTCCATGTGGTTCTCTGAGGAGAGATGATCCTTCTACCAGAGGGAGAAAAAAAATCCCTGGAGGATTAGACAAACATGACATAACGGTAGCAAAGCAGATCACCTGCTTTTGCAGCAAGTGCCACAAGCCATGATGAAATTGGCTTGGTTTTCGTATTATAGTAGAGAAAATTCATGCTTTACTGTCTCTGAACTTTTAAAATCATATCATATTCCAAATCTTTTTGTTTTCTCCTGCGAAGTCTATGTCAAAGCATTTGTCCTGCCACATTAGATATTTAGTCTGTTAAACTTTTTGTGACATTTATAGCAATGGTATAGCTCTTCTTAATGCAAAATGAAGCTTCTTATAAGGACTCAGAGCCATTTCACATGTTGATTTTGTGGAGGGAAAATTAATTTGGAAATGGTAAGCATTGTTTTTACAGGTCATATGCAAATAAATTGATTAAAAACCACAAATGTTTTGGTTTGTCCTCAAGAAAAGAAGTCAGAAAAAGCTGAAAAGTCATCTTGAATATTGGATTTCATAAAGAGAGGCTACGAAGTTGAAACACTCATTTATTGGGGACTTGTGGAAATGTTGTCCCAGAACCTGGGGAAATAATGCATATCTAAATTGGAAACACTATATTCAGGCAGATGTGATTAAAAAGGATAATTTTTTATCAGATATCTGCTACTTCTACCTAATCAAAGTCCAGAGCACGAGAAAAGAAAAATCTGAGCTAGCCCCACAGTTGCTAGTGTATGTGCTATTCATATTTAAATGTTAGGAAAAAAAAAAAGATGGAGTGAGACAGTAGGGTATAGTGGTAAGAAATAGGTAAGATCATAGAGCAGATCTATATTATCCAATGAAAAACGATGCAGAAATGATTAAACTAGTGCCAGTTAACAAGGAAAGCCTATACTGTGCAGTGCAGCATTCGGCACAGATAACAACTTGTCTCTCTTAGCTCTGCTTATGTGGCAACACTCATGGTTTCACCTTTCTACTAAGCCTTAACAACTTCTTAAAAAAAAATCTATATATCTTTCCTGGGAAAGAAAAGTACTTTCACAAAATGTGAAATAAGAAGAAGACTAATTTTAAAAGACCTGTGCATTATACTACAAGTTGGTGTGACACTGGCAATACACTTCTCAAACTTTCTCTCAAGAAGGTTACATCATAACTGTTAGTCAGTGGATATGACATAACTGTCATAGACATAATTAGGTGAATAAATTAAAAAAAAAGGATTATTTTTATTATTCCCACTCCTACTATAGCTCCTAGCCTTACTTTCTTTACAGTTTATCATATTTTGTGGCTACCTAGTTTGGAATGTTACTGTACCTACCACATGTCAACAGTATTTTGGTTTTCATTTGCTCTTTGGTTGATGCCTGGCATATCCACACTGTAACTTATTAAAAAAACCCCAAAACCCCCACAAACCCCAAACAAACAAACAAACAAACAAAACTTTCTCATTTCCTATTTTCAATATATTCTACAGGGGTTTTTTTGCAGATTTGGGATTTTAGATTTCTAAGAAAAGAAACCTAAAATTTTATTACAGTATAATGTTCAAAGCCAAACCAATATAGTGACTTTCTTCACCTTCTTGCTCCATCTAATTTCATTGGGATGGCTGGTCTTTCAAAGTATTGGAACTAGGATTGTTGCAGCCACTGATATTTGGTAAAGGATTTTAAATATACTTACTTAAAATAAAAGAATATGCCAAGAGAAATCAGAAGTGATGCAATTGAAAGACCATGTCCAATGATGGCCAAGTAATACAAATTCAGAGCAGTCTGCAATACAAGAACAAAACCAAGCACCTGTGATGCATACAGAACTATTGTTGATAAAGCACATACTTATACATCTCTTCTGCATATAAAATGACTATAATAGCATTAAGAAAATAAAAACATTACAGATAATGATGAATCAAGTCTAGAATCCTGCAAATCAACATCTTACTAAAAACTCTTTCTGTAAGATACCCAACAGATTTGTTGAAATCATCACTAGAACTTACCTCTTCTCAGTTAAAACATTGGGTTTCTAATATATACTGCTATGTTTTTTCTGAGCATTTACATAAATTTGGCTATTTATGCTACTGCACTGGGTAGATTCCTGTCTGAGGCTTGATTCATCTATTAACACAACTCTTAAGTAAAACATGTGCTTCCTATACGAATTTATGTATTTTCTCCTCATAGGTTTTTTTCTTACCGTTTAAAGATACTTCCTTCAAAGCAGGCTGTGATTATGATATTGGAAATTTAGTTTTCATTTGGCATTTAAGGAAGGGCATGAAAAAATTAACAATGACTCAAAAATAGTGGAGACTAAACAGTCTTGTTAAATAAGCCTACAACCAAATTACAGAATTATGAAAAGCTGGGTAGATATAAAAGGTAAAAATTAGGAACTAGTAAATTAATATTTGGAATATATACAACATGTTATCATTAATTCTTTTAATTAATAAATATATTAAATTCCACTAGTAACAAACCCCTGCTTTCAGTCATGGAATCTGCCACAAAAAATTCTGCTTGTTGCATTAAATGTAAGATTATCATTTTGCACATATGGAAATGAAGATTTTCAGGTTGAACCTTAGACTATCACAATAAAGCATAACTATCTGGATTCTACAGGAAGAATTAGAGCACACATACAAATGCTCATGTACTCCAAACTGTATGTATCCTCTGAACTTATTCTGATTTAAGATAGACTAACTGCAGCTTACTACATATATTGACTTTTGAAATAATGTAAAAAGATTCCAGGTAAAGCTTTAAGAAGGTTGTAAGATGAAACAAGGGTACCTCTTTGTGCATGCTAGAATTTTTCAAATTATCATTATTTTTAATAATGTGATAACTTAAAAAAAAAAAAGCAATGCAATAGGTTTAAGTGAAACTTTCATAAAAATTTGGAAGCAAGAAAAAACAAGGGTCACCCCTGAAACACTAAAGCTTGGCTACGTATACATAATGACAGCCTTTCTATGACAGGTCCATATCCGATATCACCACCTCATTCAGTGACCAATTTAGGCTAAGGTGCATGTTAAGGATTTAGAAGATTTCCACAAAATTTAGAACTGACACAAAACAGTGGTACAGCAGGGACTGCTGATGAGGGCAATAACAATAAGAATTGAACAATGGACAACAGTCACATTTATTGTGCATTATCTAACCCGCCTTCTGAGCAAAGTGAAAAGATAATGTTGTTTAATATAACAAGACATAGAACTGTAGCAAGCAGTAAGGCTTTCTTCAGAGCTATTATTCCACTTAAACAATAGCTTCTGATGCATGACAGAGTTGAAATATGCTGGCAAAGCAGCCTGAGGGAAACTAGCTCATTATTCATAAAGGAGGACCTGCATGAATCTGCTCCTGTCTGAATAATATTCTCTCAGTTTCCAGCCAAATATTAGCAAGAATCAATGAATTATAGCATTTCTGCTAGTAGAATTAAACTGCCATTAGCGTATTCAATGTCTCGTGATTTGAGAAAAAGCAATACAAAAGTACCTTATTATCATCTATTACCACCTTTTCTCAATATGGTTTCTAGGTAAATACCCTAAAGCACTCTTGACAGCAATAATGCAGGCAGTTAGGATCTCTACTAGATGTCAGTATTCTTGACACAGTCTGCTATTATTGAGCTCTTTTCCATGAGGTCCAAATTAATTTACAGTCTATCCTGACCTGCATTTTATATTCCTAGTTCTTGGGCATTTACAGTTTCAATTTACTGCTTCATCCCATGACTGAATGTTTCATAAACATAAAGAATATTAGTGGACATACAGCTGGGGGCGGGGCAAATATGCAATTATATCCTCACATATCAAAGAGTATCTCAGAAAGAGGGCATTTGGAGATTTACCAGATTTTATTTTTTTTTTTTTAAATCTGTTAATGGATGGGGAATTTCAAGATAAACTGAAGTCTATAAAAATAGCATCTATACATATACCCACATGGGTATGTGTGTGTGCATAGAGTCTACCTTTCATATATAGAAAACAACTCTCTCAAAGCATTTTGCTGCCTGGCCTGAGATAATTTTGGATGCTTGCAAAATTTCACTTAAGTAAACTTGAAGTATAGGTTTTCCATTCATGTGAGCAGCTTTGTATCTCAGAAACTGAAAAAATGGCACTTGGGAGCCAGGACACAAGATATAACACAGGCAAAGGATCACAATGAAAAACAAACCCTATCAACACTTCTCATCATTTACTTCCCTTTAGCCTCCAAAGATCCCGTGGTGAATCCATTCAACTACAGCTTATTTTCTTTTTTACAAAAGTGTAGACATTAGCTCTGCTTTTCACACTGGGGCAAAAAACCCAACCCCAAAACATCCAAAGTCTACTTAAAGCTACCTAGAATACGTATTAATCTCAAGTAAAACTTTGGTTGTGCACCTGCTGAAAATCTGTCACTGTAAGTTAATTGGATAAACCCATGCTCTCAGCACGTCTTTCAGAGATGTGCATACCTCTCACAGTTCTGCTGAACTTGGACCCTACTTCAAAATTACAGAGCAAAACGTAAAGGTCTGCTCTTATAAGGCATGCACTTTGCTTACCAGTAGATGACTGTGGATGACCTAGACAAGTACTAGTACCTACACATTTAAAATACCCATAAACAAAAATAGGATCATATTATTCAAGCAGTTGAAATCATCTGTAAAGGACAAAGCAGGTGGGCTGGGTTTTTTTGAGTCTGTTTTGCACAATTCATCCTTTTTATTCAACATGCTTTCTGCTTTTTGCATTTTGATGTTGCATCAACTGCCCTACTATTGGAGTTTTGAAACTTGTGAAATTTTTCAGATCAGTTTCTTGACACTGCTAACATGCATTTATTCCTTTCCTACCTTCACTTTTTCATGTGTATAGATATTACACTGGGTATAGTTTGTCCACGTCCTGTTGCTTTCTGGATGTCTAAACCAATTCCCACTTGGATCACAGATCTTCGTAACTTTTTCTGCAGTCAAAGTAGATGGAAAGAAAAACAAAAAAAGAAAAACAAAAGAAAAACACAACAGTCAGCACTGAAGTTCTACTTCCTGATGCCTAGTATTTAATGAAGAAAGATTGGCAAACAAATGACAGCTTTATTAATATGACTAGAGAGACATTGCTTGTTACTATGAATTCTGAGAGACTAGAGACCATTGCTTTTGCTTGGCAAGGGCAACTGATGATTTGTTTTTCTTAAGAAAACAAATAGATATCCCTCCTCCAATCCTGTAAGTATCAAAATGTATCAAATTGTTAGAGAACTACCAGGTGAAGTGACAAGAATATTTAAATGGCTTGTTTAACATCCAAGATCTAAACTGAAGTCTGAAATCCTGCCTCTGTAAATTAGGATTGGACAGGCAGGAAAACATCAATAGAGAAACTGCTCAAGAACCAAACTGGAAAATTTCTGGGACCACATAATGATTTCTATCTTCAAATAGAAAGAGGCATGAAAGGACACTGGGAAATACCAAAAGCAGCAGAAAGAGACAAGAATGAAAAATCTATGACATTTTCCACATGCTCAAAGATGGAAAGTTGAGCCTACAGAAACAGGAAAAGATTCACTTGTAGGAGAAACTCTTGTCAACTTCAACTGCAAAATTGAGATAAAAGAATAAGTCATATTTCTGCTTGTGTGTTAGAAAGAAAAGCTCATCCCTAAGAGGAAAAAACTGATCTAACTTCAACTTCTATTTCCTAATCTACAGAATCCCTCAAGGACATATTTCAGAAAAGAAAATAAGTAACTTATCAGTTTTCTGTGTGATAAAGGGAAAATGCAAATAATGGGTTTGGAGTTACAGAAATTCTGGAGCATTAGTGACTTGAGTAGGGCAAACAGGAGGCATCAAGCACCCAAACGCTCATTTTATTAAGAAATATGTTGATGTAGAAGCCCATGCACACTCACCTGATGGGTTGAAATCCTGAAAGTAGTCAGGACAACGCTGTACTGACACAGTTCCGGCAGCAACATCACTCCAGCACAACCAGCCATCCCATGTCCTGTTACAGTAAGGACCTGCAAACAAGTAAAGACCTGGTAATAAAATAACAACCATTCTTTCACAACATTCTTTCAAAAATAAGATGTAAGACTGCATAAAGTAAGTTTCTCACTTGCAGCAATGAGAAAAAAAAGAAAATAGATAAGATTTAGCAGTAATTAATTAAAACTCCACTTAATAGAAATAGTTCCTTATATGTACATTTCTTCGAACACATTTTAAAATCCATCATCATTCACCTTGAAATGGTCTGCATCTACAATTTACAAACCTCAGATCTAGAGCACAGTAGGCAAAAAAACCTAAATCAATTCAGACCAAATAATGTACATTAACAAAGAGCCTTAAGCTTGCAAAGACCGTTTTACTGAACGAACTTACATTTTGGATGTATACCAAGCCTATACGTAGGTTTACTAGTTCATTGAAAACACAGTGGTATCGTAAAAGCCATCAGAAAGGCTGGCTGGGAGGCAGCCACAGCTCCTCTGCCTCAAGCAGAGCTAAGCCTGCAGCGGTCATCATGGACAGACAGTTCTCCAAGTGCTCCAGGGAAAGGGAATCCACAGTGTCCCTCAAGAGCCTGTTTCAATGCCTCACTGCACTCCCATGAATGTTAACATCTAAAATAAACCTCCCTTGAGAACAAACTAGGGTTTTATAAACAAATCCTTTCCCAAAAGGCACACAGAATGACTGACCCTCTCTACAAATTTGAAGATGTTTTTAGTATCTTCCTTCAGTTTTCTTTTTAAGACTTAATAATGCCCCGATCTCAAAGGCTGCATTTTTCAAACATCATGTAATTCCTCCTCATCTGAAGATTTTCCAATTTGTCTAGATCCTTCTGAAGCTGTGATGACCCAGGCTAGCTGTAAGCTTACACTGTCATACTCATATCCATTTCTGACCTCCAGACATTCAGTTCCTCCAAGGAATCATTTCAGAAAAGAAAAAAACTCATTGTAAAAGAATGCAATTACCTCTTCTTGCCTCAAAAGCCATTCAATGTTTCCAGAAGTTATAAATTCAGAAACAGTGAATGCTGTGACAGGTAGAGCTACTGAGGTTAGCTCGGAATGAGTTATCAGAAAAAGCATTAATGATACTAACACAACCCTCAAAGTAGGGAAATTGTGTGTATCAAGATACTTTCAATTTTTAAAGGCAGATGTGACCAGGTAGACAGGGGTATTATAAGAGCATGAAATGTAATAAAGTGGTAAGATTAATCGGTCATCATTTTTTAATCTGGATATCTATTTACATTAACATTTTCTTATCTCATCAGAAATAAAAGCTTTGTGTTATATAAGAAGTGGTGCTATGGGCAGGTAATATAACATATTACTTTATCTTCATGAATCCCATAGTGATGTTTCTAAAAACTCGTACAGTTACAGCCTGAAAAATGATTGCTACCAAGACAAGAAATGAATATAACTTAAGGGATCCTGAGTTACTGTAATCATGTCTGTGGACCATTTGCCTTTGTAAAACCTTATAAGAAAATTATCTCTACCTTCTTTCCTATGAATAGGATCTTGCATAATTTTCTGGTAGCATTCATACTGTGCTGTCATAATTTTATTCCGTGTAACACTCAGTTGAGTGAAGTCCTCCGTCATATTCTGATGCCCTTCAGATGGTATAGCAGTGGCAAAAAACTACGAGGAAAAAGACTTTTTTTAGCAAGTCATGTACAAACTCCAATATAAACTTCTTAAATGTCAATCTTTTTAAATACTATGTTTTAAATATTATTTTACTGAAGGAAAATTATCTTCAAATCTTATTACTGACAATATGATTTTATGTTTTTATGGTTCATTTAGTAATTCTTCTTACTACTGAATCTTGACAAATATCTCCTGAATGAGCATGGGGGAGTAACAATCTGCAAGATTTATAAATAATAATGGAAAAATGCTTAGAAAGCACTGAGACAGTCAGAAGCATATAAACAGCTTTTACAAAATCCAGTAAAATATATCAAAGCTACATTAGTCTAAAAGGCATTTAAATCAGGCCCCAAATGATCCTTTATGAAAAGAGACTTTCCATATACCATATGTGCTGAAGGTTTTGTCTGTTCAGAGATATTTGGTTTCTCTATAGTCTTGCAAACCATGAAGTCAACCCTCAATACAAAAAGGTATACATAAGACATGACATCCACTTTTATAGTTATTAAAATAATAACAATAATAATAATAATAATAACAATAATAATAATATAAGAAAGTGGATCTTGATCAAAACCTGAACCTTTTAAGTACATTTTTAAAAGAAGTTAAATATTTTATGGGAAGCTACTAAACTTCATGGAAAAAACAAAGCTGCAGATTGAAATACTGTACCATTGTCATACAAGGGGTGAAATTAAAAGTTCCAAGGATGCCTTCTGCATAGTGCTGCTTATATGTCACTTGTCAACTGTTACTGTAAAGTTCTCTGCTAGCAAAGGATACGCTGGGTTCAGCAGAGGTAAATACTATTTCTGTTCCTTTACCACCAGAATTAAAAGGAGAACAGAATGTAGATAAAGATCCTACTGTGCAGAAACTACATTTGAACACAAGATTAGTTGTTTCTGCATTTCCATATTAATAATTTCTATGGTATTCTGTACACAGTTGTTAAATCTGGAAGTGATTTAAAAAATCTGTAAGACTCACCATAGTAACTGATAAGAACACCACCAAAGATGTGATCCAGTTTTTTGTCATTTTTACATCTGGTGCAGTGAATTTTATATTGTAGTTGAATGAACTCAAACTGCCATGGAAAAGAAAGTAGGAACAAATTTAGTAATTCATGAAAGCCAGAACTGATAAAAGACTTCATATTTTCTTTCTGAATTAAGACAAATCAACAAAGGCCCTCTCAATTTTCATTCACACATAGTGGCACTGTGTGATATACATGGAGATGTACAATATGATGTCAAAAAAATGCACTCAATTCACCAGCAGTGAATTCCAGCAGCAGGGTTTTTCATGCACTGCTGCCTCCATTGCCTCAACTAAGACCAATTCTCTGGAGGGTTTGGCTCAGTCAGGTAGCTGGTATCAACTCTAACAGATGTGTAGCAATTAGCCCTGAGATACGAGTTGACTCCTGGACATCTCTGCCTTTGGGCAACCATAGCAAACTGCAGTTCAGTTTCCTCTAAAGTAGACTTAGACTTTCACAAACACACACACACACTATTATTTCCTGTTCTCTTCACACCAGCTGATTTTTGATTTTGCCATTTCTGCAAGAACTGATCTAGCAAGCAGCCACTTCATCTTGAAGTTACAACTTCGCAAATATGACAAATGCAATGCAAGAATTAACTGTGAGCTGTAAACTAGTTTCTGTATCTGCAGTAGTTGTAAACTAGTTTCGTTATCTGCAGTTTGAAGAAAACAGAACTACCCAAAACAGCTATAATCATCTTACAGTGCAGGCTATTCTTGGAATTGATTCTTGAAGTGTAAAATGCACCTAAAACATAAAATATACAAAATTATTTATTAAGCACCTAGACCACCTATTAAGCACAACCCTGCTGCGACAACTCCCTCAAAAGGAAGGGAAACATATAAGAGATTTCTCATGCAATATTTCACTGTGTCCTGAGGTTGCCTGAGAAGATCACAAAGCCAAGCCTGGAATTGATGTAAGAGCTTCTCTTCTGCTTGTGTGGTAGCAAAAGACCTCTCCACATTTAGATTAAGTTGTTACAACTAAACCACCTTTCAAAATCTAAGTATCTCACTGTACTAGCATCAAAGAAGCTATTACCAGCCAAAATAAAGGGGACCACATCTGAGTGAGTTTAGCTCCCTTGTACAGACTAATTCACTACAAATAATACACGGCTACTTAAGACATAAAACTCACATATCCCAAAGGTCCTTCATATACCTAGCTCAAAAATCCCACTGCTACCAAAGCAAGAGGGCTGTTGGGAGCTGAGTACCTACATGCAAACCTGTCTTCTGACCCAAGCCACATTCTCCCTTGGATCACACTTGCTCTTGTCTTTGGAAGTTTTTCTTATCCAGCAGTCATGTCCTACAAGCAACCAGTGGATGACAAACAACTGATAGTACATTAGCCAGCAAAAGTAATTTTACAAAAAGCCCATCCTTTAAAAAAACCCCAGTCTTAGTCACAAAAAGCAAGCATTCTATATCTACTTCTTTTCTGCTTTTACACTGAGACTAGGTCCTCTTAACACAACTATAATACAATAAAGAGCATTTTGTAGGATATATCGACTACAAAATATGAGATCACTGCTGTTTATTGTACAGCTTAATGCAAATACAAGAAATGTGTTGTAAAAACAGTTACTGTTGTGCCTGTTTAACCCAGGCTAAAACTGTATCAGTAATCTTCCCTCTCTTTTTACCACTGGCATGCAATCCTCTAATACTGATTGCTGGAAATTGCACAGGTAATTCAGTGAGACACTGAAATTCAACTATGCTGTTCTGAAGGCTCTTAAAACACTAACAGGAAGACCAATCAACATACGTGAAATATATTCTCAGTTTGAGCTAATACTTCTCTGGAAAATCTACATGATGAGAACTACAGTGAATAGAAAATTGTAAAAACCACTATGTTAACTAAAGAAAAACCTAAACATCTATGTTTAGTGACTAAAGATTGACTGAAAACCAAATACAAATGAAGATATCTAAATAAGCAAAGAGGCAATACGATTTGAATTCTGCATGATAATTGGGGGCAAGGGAGATTAACTGAAACCCATCACAAGTTTCATTCATTTATAGTTGTGTCTGTTTACCTAGGAAGGGGAAAAAACCAACACTGGCCTTCTAAGGAAATTGGAATTAACTACTTGGTTGTAAAGTAATTGAGTAATCTTCGCTCTTCAAAGTATGCCAAAGTGCATCTGCACAGGTTTAAAACCCAGAAATGATGTGCACTGGACAAGAGAAGAGACCAAACATGTAGAACATAGCAACCATAATTTAGTGTCTCTTTTTCTGTATATGTATACAAGAGTTCAAAATAATTTTCTCTATAATAGTTCCAAAAATCCTTGTGCTAAAACAAATGTTGGATGGCAAATCTAAAATGCATATTCAAATATTGCCCTCACTTAGCCTTGCTTATTTTTATTTACCTAGAAGATACAATATCATATAAACAACAGCAGAATTTATCTGCTTTGATTCAGAGTCCATGATTATTTCTGTTTCACAATATCAAAAGTCACCCTTTAGCTCAGTTCCTTTAATGGTCCAAATCTTTTCATATCTAGTGGTTTTGTAGACATTTCCTATCAACTATTCCAGTATCCACTGCTAAACTATTAATTCTTCCCAGGAGAGAAAAGATTAAGTCAAGTCTATAATTCACTCTATGCTTTACACTCATTTCTCACAGCTGGTAACTGCAAAAACCCCCTATATATATATATATATATATATATATATAAAATCCTTTTTCTAAACAGCACTACTTTTGGACTTAATTACAAAATGCAGGATGAAGGTCATTCAGATGCCTATTTGGACTTCAGGAAAGCATTTCTTGCATCACTACATGAATTAATTCACTCATTATTTATTCCAGTTAGTTTGGACAAGAACTTTCACAGGAAGATTAAAAACTTTCTTAAGAATGGACAGCAACTTAGTCCATTGATTGAGGTAGCAAGCCAGTACTGCTGAGAAAGTCAGGCTGCTTTTATTAATCATCTGTTCTGATGAAATGCAAACCAAATGTGATTCTCAGGAAGTTCTCTCCTTCTCAGAGCTGGGAGGTATCAGATGCACAAGGAAAAGAAATTAATAATACAAGAGACCCATTCTTAGATTTCTTTAAATAATAATGCTTCCCAAGTTGTTGTTCTGCTATTAAACATCTTTGGAAATTCTACTGTGGGGGAGACAGGACAGGACAACTGTATTGGACCGAGGTTAATTTGAGTCTACTGAATGTTAGCTTCAGGGAAAATATGGTGGCAGCTTAGAATCCTCCGACTCCACTCTGTGACAGTGGGGATCTGAAAAAAAGCCAGCAGGACTATGATTTTCATGATAGGTATTGAACGATACTATAAGTCAGTGGACACAACACCACAACTACCAGCAGTCCTCTGGCTTAAGTATTTTCCCAGTAAAAGGTATCATCAGTGGGAAGAGAATGGGGTATTGCAATAGCAAATCAGATCTTCAAAATCTCATTTTTATTTTTAGTGCATGTTGAACTGAAGACTGGGATAACTTAAAAAAATAAAATAAAATGGAACTGCCTGTTTTTCCTCTTTATTACATTCTCTGTTACCCAAATTAATGACACTCCAAAGGCCTATATTGTGTTTGTCATTGATATCAGTAACATCTACTGAAGAAGAAGGAATTCAAAAGGAACTGCAAGCTTAACTTAGCCAAATTAGTCACTGGTATAGCTTTAACAGATGTTCACATTTCTCTTCCTCCTGCTTTCTCCACAGAGCCATCCTGCCTCATCAGCTGTTTCTACTTTTAACCTTTTCCCATCCTCCCAAGAATAAATGTCATCCTTGCTGAGCTCCAGACACTTCCTACTTCAATGATACAGCAAAAGGGTTAGAAAAAGTAGTCAGCAAGAAAAATCATTTTTTTAACTTCAATCACCTGACCACATTTAGTACAAAAGAAAATACACAGGCAGCTTCTACCTTAAGCAGTCACCCTTAAGTCTGACTTTAAGTCAGAATGCAACTCTGTAGGAGTGGGATAGGGGGGAGAGTCTCATTATGTCATTGCATGTACATTCATACACACACACAAACGTTTTTCACTAATTGGTAATCTTTGATTTTGCCAGGAAAAGAAAAAACCCAAAACAATCAAACCCCAAAACATTTTCAGTATAAATTACATATCTTGCAGTGTGCTATACTCTTGCAACACTAAAGTTGAACATGCGCAAATATAGCCGTATAGCCTTCCTCTCTGACTGAAAATGGGGGCCAGAATGGCTATTTTCTTGACCACCACCCCCCCCCACCCCACCCCCCGGCTGTTGTTCTAGCACTCCCTGATTTTGTTTTGTTGCCATATCTCTCAGAAATAGCTATACATGCTATTTTGTTATTTCTGGTTCTTTTTAGAGGGAGGCATACAACTCAAAGTATTCAAAGCCCCAGGCAATGTTTGGTTGTTTCAACCCAATATATAGGCAAAACCAAGAAGTTGGAAAATGCCCAACCCTTTTCAAGCGTCCCTAATTTGAATTGCTGTAGTACACTGTTAGGAAAAAATCAGTAGTCTCAAATGGAATTACAGACAGAGTCTTTACTGATGCAGATTCTCTTCTAACTAAAAGGGTTTTGCAAGTGGGCAGTACCAGCAAACATTAATACACACCAGATTCATTTAGTCTTGAAAGCAGACTACAAAATCTCCATACTTACCTTAGAGTGCAATGCATGGCAATTTGGAAATCTTCCTAATCAGGTAAAATGCCCTTATTTCTGAGTGAACCACTTCTGCGAGGATTTGGACCAAACTGCTCTGGTGGTATCACATAACAACTCACAGCTCTATGTGTGGGAATTACTCCATCGTCCTAATAATTATGGAGTTAAAAAGGCTCAAAAATAATAGTTATGGAACAAATCTAATAAATGCGGGGTAGTACAGTTTCACAACACTAGAATTCCCTACTCACAGCCACTCTGAATTAAGACCCAGGCATCAGCAGTTACAGACTCCTAAAACAGGTGAGGCAAAAGATCAAAAGAGTTTGATCCTCCCT